AAAGGCCTGTTTCTAATTTAAACTAGTGCTAACAGCACAGAGATGAATGCAACCAAATTCAGCCACCATGCCCGGACCGTTACATTTTAAGTCACAGTGGAATTAAAATGCGGCTGCAGGTCTGCCATCTCTCATCCTGAGCCGTGTGTCAATGCTTGCCGAACCTGACAAGCGGACGTGTGCTGTCACTATTGAGCACTGGCGCGATGCAAACCAGTTGAAAAAAGCAGATGAGATGAGATATTTGCCTCAGTTTGGAGTGACTTTACAGCTTTGCCTTGTGGTTTCTTAATAGATCTTTGGTTATTAATTTTATGTAACTTGATAAGTAAATCATAGCTAAACCCCTGCTTTTGCATGTACCAGGTGACATTAAGAATCTAGGTATTAACAACAGTTACCATTTGCATTGAAGTATTAAACTCTACCTTTTTATTAAAAAAAGACTCAAAAAGGAGTAGTGGACACAAACAAGCTCACTAAAACTGTATCTAAATGCTTCCTGCTTAAATAATAAAATCCTGACTTCACCAAGAGTCAATGATAAAAACTCCCAAATACCAATTTGTTTTTCTGACAGTATCTATGGTTTTTAATAACATGCACTGTGCCTGAATGAGAGCAAGCAGCCCAAGAATAATGAGGTAGACTGGGTTTCCGTTTGCGCTCCAGTACATGAGCACCTTCAATAAGCATCTGACAGAAAATCTGTGTCTGATGAAAAAACTGATTTGATGTAGTTACTGAATTCTGCACAGGACACACTGTCAGCAGGGTAAATTTTTCCATTGTGAGCTTCACGATTGCCCCGTTCTGTAAAGCTAGAACCATAGCACAGTTAAACTAACAGAAAAAGTACTGGAAACTAATAAAGCACAAGCTAAAAAGAAACAAACTTAGGAATGCAGTGAATGTTTTTCATTAATTCTTTCACATATGGTTTTTATTGCCATCCAAAAACCTAAGTGTCTCTTATTACTTTATAATAAGTGAACAAGTGATTCATATACGGAGCTGCTATCACTGAAAACCAAGCTCAAACACAGAATCTCAGTGAAAAAAAATGGCCTTTTATCTTGAAATAATTCAGGTCCTTAACTTCTGGGTATAAAAATATGAATGCTTTATGATTAATATGTTAAAAATGTCTCTGCTGAAGTGAAAAGAAAGATGGCTTTTATAGGCAATTACAAACACCTGCTGGTAAAGAATTTAAAAGAATAACTTTAGCTAGTGTCTGTTTAAGGCTGTAGAAAGCACCTGCTCATTGAACCTACAGCTTTACTGGATTTTCACAGAATTTTTATACCTCCTTTATTGCAAAAATGATGTTCAAAAATAAGCTGAAAAACTTAAACCCAAAAATCTCTTCAGCAACCATATGGAAGCGTGTCTAATACCTCCCTCAGTGGATTGGCGTCACCACAGCGTTCCTGTATTACCCCTGCCTCAGCATATACCCAGATGCATAAAGCTCAGGCTGAACCTTAACCTGGAGTAGATGCAACTCAACCCAAGTGGGAGAGACAAAGGCACTGAGGGAACAAAACTGGGTACTGACATAGAAGGTATGTGTCTAACACTGGTAACAGGCATGGCCTCGGCATGGTGCCACGCAGAAGAAACTCAAGTGACTGCACGCAAGGCAGCTGCGGGCTGCGGCTCCCCGCGCTGCTGCTGCTGGCAGGAGGAGAGAATTGCCCAGGTTCTCCCTGACATTTACATGCAAGACCTGTAGCATGCTCTCCGGGGGACTCCAGACCAACGTCGGTTCAGACATCGAAGCTAATGCCTTTCACTACTGAAGTTCATCTAAGATTACCTAAGATTCCCAGCTGCTCCTCAAGTCTTTCACTTTTATAGCTAATACATACTATCACCAGAAATCACAATGAGCGGGCGCAGATGGACACAACACAGATAATACTGCAGTAACTTCTGCTGCTAGAAAAATATGATTCCAGGAACTAAACATGCAAAATTTCTCTGCATTTTGTGGTACTGTGCTATAGTGACATGTTTCAGAGCAGGTTCTTTAATGGCAGAATCAAAAAAAGGAAACAAAGTGATTCCAGGATGTTCAAAGCTACAGAGAATTGTCATCTTCCATCCTATTATCCCATGCAAACACCTTCTGCTACGATAATTTGCAATTTCACCATGTTTCCAAACTTAGTTTATGTGTGTATAAAGACACTGAAGTATTTTTATGTAGATTTGCTTTGAAGCTTGACAGTTTGCACACCAGCAGTCTTCCCAAGAGCCTCCCTCACACAATTTCTAAGAATCGCATTGACACAATCATTAGCGTGGGAGGTGTGTGCCGGGGGGCATACGCAGTGTTTCACACACAGCCTCGCCAAATGAGCAGCTCAGGGGAGCTGCTGTAACTTAATTAACACTGTGCTACAGACTGCTCGCCTCTAGAGGCAAAAGCTGGCAAGCCACAAAGCAGTGTCAAAGCAGCTATAACTTTTCACGCCTTTGCACTGCAGAACAGGAAGATCCTGCACAAACACCACGAGCAAAGGCTTCATCCCACCCTGCCCAAGACAACTCTGTCCAGCTGCACGGGACAGAAACCATGTTAACTGTCCGTGCAACTCTTCAACTTTCTGGCCGGTTGGGTCAAGGTGCCAACTGGAAATTGATTATTTTTTTTGGTGGCAACTAACAAGTACAAAACAGGCTGAAGTCACCTGCCCTGAACAGGACATTGCACTACAGAGAATTGGCTGAGTATTGTTAAGCTTTTACTGGAAAGGATGGGGGAGCCCTCTGCAACTACAGTAACTACCAGGTGGCTAGTCAGCAAACACAACACAAAATCTAACACAGACTTTCACACGTACGCACACTAAAAGCTGTCATAAAATACACTCATCGGTCCATATGAAAAAAAAATAAATCCTTGGAGGCTGAATCCTGCTAATCACAACTTCATCCATGTTAATGGCAGAATGATGTTTTGCCACTATACACGTTTAAAATGTTAGTAAATGCATTTTCTATGACACGACTTTCTCTCCATCTTCCATATACACGAGGCCACTGTCATCTGCATCATACTTCTCTTTCATTCCGGCTGGGCTCAGAACAGGCTATGGCATGACACACACAGAAGGTACCCATTCACCACTCAGTGAAAGCTCACATTGTCCGCAGAGTAGCACAACAGATAGCAGGGTACCCATGGAGGCCGCGTAAGTTAGAGCTACCAGGATGCGAGAACTGAAGGACGGCCCATTCTTGGCAGAACACGCAGAATTGCAGAAGCACATTGTAAGGCAAGAATTAGTATTGAAGGTATTTTAGCTGTATGCAACTTGGTTTTGTGAAAAGTTGTGTTTGGTAGAATGGGTATTTTTAATGTAACAGTTTTATTTAGTTCTTGCAAAGCTAAATTGCAGCTGGTCTGGAGACTGCTGATTAGTTTTCTTTTTACAGTAACTGTTGCTGCACATATGTACTGTTCCACAGCTGGTGTTAAGCAACCTGGCATAACGAAACATTTCTTCTTTGTTCCTGATGCTTACGCACCCTCTTTCACCCCTATTGTCTTTGAAGGATGCTTTTGGTAAGAATCAATTTAGGATATTTTTAAATCTGTAATTTCTCTATGAATTAGAAAATATAAAGCAATCGGATTCAAGTTGATTTTGTTTTCATTACAACAATTCACATATTAGCTTCCAAAAAATTTGAGGTTTTTTTCTTTTTGAAAGAAAATCCAGAGGAGATCAAAAGTAATCAATCTGTGTATAATGTGATCTTGCTTACAGCGCAGAATTTGGAGACTACAGATTTGTTAATTAGGAGCGAAAAAGCACGCGACAGAACCTCTGTACATAGATGTATGTTGTGTACAGCATGCACTCGGGTTACATGCTTTAGTTTTCAAACTGCATGCTTCAGTACAGTTTGCAGGACATGAAAGCAGCGTAATTTTGTGACACAAGAAGTGGATTTCTTTTGTTGTCACGTCCCACCACGTTCAGATGCATGACTCCTTTTCCGGTCTGAACAAGCCAGCAGTAGCAGGTAGCCACAGAATGCAAGATTCATTGGTGCAAAGACATACACTTTAGAAGAGACTCATTTTTCATTTTAGGAGACTACATTAAAACCTTCAGTCTCTGTTCTCATCTAATCAGTGTGTATGTGTTGTAATATTGGCAAGACAGAAAGCTGAGATAATACAAATCTTTTAGTTGGCAGTTCTTAATATCCTGATATCTTAGGCAACAATGCAAGACTTCTAGAACCTTATATGAACACACATTCGTCTCTGAGGAAATTATGCATGTAGTAATTTATTGTAGCCGACCCCCAAATAATCCCCACATAGATTGCAATGTGCATATGCATATATATTTCCATAATAAGAAAACTGAAACATTTATTTAAAGGCTCAAACTTTTTAAGAGATCATGCATTGATGCTCTTTGATGGTGAAAAGCCAAATAAAAGATTCATGAGAGCGCTAAATTAGAAAGCGACCAAAGGGCATAGCTTAGTTCTTACCTTGGCTGTTTTTTTCACGAGTTGACATTTTTGCTGGTTATGGAATAGAAATAAAATATCTTAAAACTATTTCTAATGTCTCACACCTGCTTGGAAGAAGACTGGCACATCAGTCAAAACTTTAGATTTTTGTTTTCATAACCTCTCTCTATTTATACACATACACACAGAGAAAATAATCAAAAAAGGTTTTTTGTTTCACAAAACGAATCCTCCCACCACCCACCAAAAATTTCTGTCCTTCCTAAAGATCCAATTTGATGAAGCATTTCTCCACAATTTTAAAGATCCTTATGCAGGTCTTGAGTAAAATTTGGCCAGAGGAATTCTTGGAGTAATTACCAATACTATTTTAGCTCTGTATCCCTGTTTCATAAGCATATGTCCCAGTGTATTTATTTACAGGAAATACTATTCAGTCAAAAGCAAATGTCTTCAACTTCATCCAGTATTTAAAAATAAATGGTTTTATTTACCTTGGCTGATGATGACATCTTTGTGCCTGGGGAAAAATTCAAAATAATATTGTTAATGATATGTGAAATGCTTATCAAGCCAATACCATCTAGTTCTTACACATTATTGCATTTGGCAATCTCATCAGACTCTGTGTACAGTGTAGCTGTACACAGTATAGGACGCTAAATAACTCAGCTTGGTCATCATAGTGCATTTTTACCCATATTTTATGCAGTTCACTGTACCTTTCGAGTAACTTAGAAGTCTTTGGCCGTATGGCAAAGGTTCCTAAGAATTACTGTGATAACAAAATACAAAAAGCTTTTAAAAATAAATTATAGAGGGTAATTCCTCGTGCACAGAAAATTCCATTTTGAGAGAGCAAACTTGTAATAACCAAATGTTTTAAGCTGCCAAACACCCTCAAGCCTGCATGCAAAGCATTTAACACCTGTCAAAATAAGCTGTCAGCACACAACACAATTTTTTCTAGGAATTAACCCTGTTGGACACACGGGTTAAGTGTAAGCAAGTTGCAGTTCATTTAAACTGGCTCCATGCATCTTCAAAGGAGCACAGTTGAGACATTTCTCCTCATCAGAACCAGGAATGAACCACTCACAAAAAACCCTCAATCCTTTTTTTGTGAAGAGAGAAGAAATACTGATTTCCAGCATCAGAGCTACTTCTTACCAGAAAAAACACTCCTTGATGGGAGAATGTATTGCATAAAAAACCCCCCTCTTGAACTCATTTGAA